AGTGACTATTATGAAAACAGGTAACTCTGAGAAGTCCTGAGGCAGCGATAGGCAGTAGCCAGCCACAGGTGATTGTGCCATGGGCTCTGTGGCAAAAGGAACAAAAAGATCTGTGGATCCACAAACAGGAAAGATGTTGGGTTGGAAATACTACTTCAGCTCTTACTTGGCTTCTGCATGCTCTCAGGTCTCCAGTCCTGGTAACCACAATTCCAGAAGAAAGAGGGGAGGGACATGATGTGAGTAAAAGGCTGTGAAGTGCACCTCACCGCACCTGGGTGGAGGAGCTCAAAGCTGTCTGTCTTCTGAAAGAAAAGATAAGGAGTGACTTAATGTCCTGGTTTCGATTGGATAGAACCTCAGGCTGGCCATGGTATGCAGCCCTTAGCAGCTTCAAGCCATCCAGATGCTCAGGCTAGGAGGGGCAAAATCCAGGGCAGCTGACCCAAGCTGGCTAACAGGGGTATAGCCCATACCATAAACTTCACACTCATTATAAAAGGGGAGGTTTGCTGGGGTGGGGTGGCAGCTCCTCCTGTTTCTCTTCCTCTGGCTTCTCTGCCTCTTTGGGGTTTGCTGTCTTTGGAGAGGCTTGCTCATCATCATCATCCTGCTCCTGAGGGCTGCTCTCCAGTTTACTGTGCTGTTTTTTCACTGGGGCGAGTATACCTTTGTATACTTTATACTGGCATTAGTGCTAATAGTAGTTTTGCTGTTTCATTAAATCTGTTTTCCCTTCAACCCTTGAGTCTCCTTTCCTTTTCCTCATTCCCCTTCTTGGCTGGGAAGGGGTCATTGGGTGATAGAGCAACTGCTGCAGTTTATCTCCAGATACTGGGCTTCATTTAGATGAAGATACTTAATCAAGTGTCGGTCAGGGCTGGAAAAGGCCTGGATGTCCAAAAAGGGCTGTAAGCTGACTTAAAGCTTCAAGAGTTAGATCTAGAATGGTACTGGTTCGGCAGCTGCCTAACCCTGGAGGCAATTAAATTGACTGGGCAACTCTCTATTGGGCTGTAGAGATCTCCCAGAACCTGCAGTTCTGCTCCTGTGTGTGCCCTGGACTGTCCCAGCCACACATCTCTGCTGCTTGTCCCTGCCTAGGGTGGATCAGGGTCTTGAATCTAGGCAGAGGAGTATTGCAGTCTCTGGAGCACCCTCAACAAGCCCAGTGAGACCACCTCCACCACGCACTGCCATACACCACCCACAGCTCTTCTCACCTCTCTGTACGTGTTCTGCGTTAAACAACCCTGAATGAGATCACCCCAGGAGCAGAACTTGTTCTTGCCCTCCCTCCCTCCCCGTGCCAGCCCAGTGTGCCCCCCACTAGTGCTCTTCCCTCGGGATGTGCTTGTGCCGTGGTGCCCTGCCTTGTCCAGGACAAGCTCCATGCAACCCCTCGCTCCGTGACCCTGCTGGCTTTCCCCCAGCAGCCGAAGTAGGTAGTTGGGTTCCCAGTCAGAGGCAGGCACAGAGCTCATATGCACTTGGACCTGGCCTTGAGCAGGGAAAAAGACGTTTGGCAGCAGAAGGCTCTTCTCCTTCGCAGAGTAAAGGCATCATGAGATTAAAAGGCTGCAGGATGAGACTTTCGGACAGATTCGGACTCAGGGCAAAAAACCCCAATAATAATTAACAACATTGGCGATTAAGCAGTGGAAGAACATGCTAAGGTCTGTGGCTGGTTCTTCAGCACTGAATATTTTACACTAAAATGTCTTTTTCTCAAAGCGATGCTTCCATTCAAATGGGAGCGAATTAGGTCAGGGGAGTTCTCTGGCCTGAGGTAGGTAGAAGATCATGCAGATAATCCACATACTCCCTCTGGCCTTGTGACTAATTCTCTTTGGTACAGCTATTCCTGATGTAAATGAGATCGCTTGGACCTGTGCTTGCCCTCAGGAACTTATAAACTAATTACGTTTGTTTTGTCAACGCATTAGATACTCATAGGCTGCATGCAGACTCATTAGTTAGACTGAATTATGCCTTTGCTCTTTGAACGTTATCAAAACATCCAGATCTAGCATGTTTCACGGTCTGCCTTACTCCTTCTTTGTACACAGATTTCTGTGGTTACTCCTTGCTAAGAAACCACAGACTTTTAACGCGCATATGCTGGTTTCGGTTATTTCGTATATTGAAACTATGGTGGCTGATGTCATCCTGATCTTTTAAATTTATCTCACTTTTGATGAAACCCTTTATTGTTAGATTTTAAAAAAATGTATTTGTTTCAGATCTCATACATAACTTTGTACACCTGGCAGCCCAGTAGCTCGCACATGGAGAGCCTGCAGGCCCCTGGTACCTCCACACCTGCAGGGCCTGCAAAGGAGCCTGGTTCGCAGTCTCTCCCAGTGAGCAGGACTTTCGTGGAAGGTAGGATGTGATAAAGAAGTATAAAAATATTGGCAAATGCATAAAGCGCCTGGATTCAGTGCAAATGAGCTGTTTTACTTGGAGCTGGCTCTGAATTTTCCTAGGGCACAGGTAGGCGGTCAGACTCTTGCTGTGAAACCGTCCTCTAGAGTCTGAAGCAGCCCACCCCATTTCTTCCCTTCCCCCTTTAAGAACAAACAAACAACGAGGAACTTGTCTTGGGAGTTTTGAGATGCCACCGCTGCCTTCCAGCTGCAGTGATGTTTCACTGGGTGCTGGGAGGGTGAATGTCCATCAGGTGTCATCTTCATGCCTCCATCCCGAGCCATTCTTTCTGGGGGAGCCCAGCACCTCGTGAGTGCACCAGTATCAAGAGCTGTCACAGCCACTTTCTTCATTCATGTTTATCCAGCATTATTTGCATTCTTGCTGTGCTGGCTGTGCATTTAATGTGTGAATAATAGTTTTTTATGACTGTTATTCAGCACCTACATACTTCTGCTGAAAGGAGGGTGGAGGAGAGCAGGGTGGGGAGCTTTTTAGTTAATGAAACAGTTATTATTTGCTGACAAGATCACCAAGTATCTTAAGAAGAGGGAATTTGATCTCCTTCCAAGTAACTAAACAGGAATTTGCACTGCAGAATGTGTGAAGCATGTGTATTCCAGGAAAAAAAAAAAACAAACCAGAGCATTTACAGCCCCATTGCCTAGGGACTTCAACATCTGTGAGGAAACAACGTCAGTGATCACTGTGTCCATGTTCTTTAACATTACTTGATTATTTTATCTCCAGGCCAGTGGAGCGGTATATGAACACACCCTCCTGCTAGACCCACCTTACGTGAACTCAACCTCATGGCAGCCCCTCTCTTGTGCTTCAGGTACGCCTAAAGCTTCAACCAGCCTGGGAAAACAAGTTCATTGTGAAGCAGGTATGCAAGAAACAAGTTCCAGCTGACTGGGTTTTTCACATGCAGACATTGGTGAGGCTGACACTAGTGGAGTCCTCAAGAGAGCATGAGAGTGCTCCAGGTGTCTTGGCTCTGCGAGGCGTGTGTGGGGTCCCTGAAGGATGACTGGAGTTTGAGTCCTGCTCCTGCAAAGTTGCAGTCACATAACATACACACACGAGTGCCACTGGGATTGCAGCTCCACCGCCCCCTCCTACCCGGGGACTAGCAGGAGCTAAGAGCCGTGCAGCCCCATGCTCCTGGGCCGTACAGCCCTGCAGACAGCCACAGCGCTGACCATGCTGCCCACACTGTGACTCCAACACTGCCACCACAGAGCCAGGGCCGTCGCCCATCCCACCCAGGACCAGTAGGTGCTCATGGGCTGAGGAGGAGGTTGGCCATCTAGGCAAGGGCATAAATTGGTGTGCAGTGTCTCAAGCAGTGGCTGGCTGGCTCCAGCTGAGAAAAAGATGCTGCTGTAGATGAAAGCCCCAGGGGATGGCATGCAGCCCCCCTGTACTTAGGTGCGTGGCACCCAAGCACCCTGCTGTCGGCTGCAGCTGCTGGCCAAATGGGAGAAAGAAAGGGATGAGTACCCATGAAGGAGGAGAGGAGACATTTCACTCATTTAGTTCCACAGCTTCCAAAACCAGCCTAAAACTGGGAGTAGAGAACAAGTGAGAAGAAAAGCACTGTACACGTAATACTCTGGCAGTGAAATGGGTCAGCGGTTCTTGTGGGAGAAGAGGAATGCAGTTTTTAAGAAACAAACATCATCGATGTACTTGGTAATAGCTGGACAGCCCTGCTTTCCTGGAGCGTAACACAGAAGTTTACTATGGGCTTATATGCCTTGTCTTTTGTCCCCACGGGCTCTCTTCTGACCACCACTTAGTGAAATGGAACATCCCTGCTGTTTTCTTTAAAGTAATCTGTAATTCCTTGGCCATAAAGTAAAGGGAGGGACCCATCTGTTTGTTTGGAGGTTTTTTTCCTCTCTTCTACAGATGTTCTTGTTTGTGTTAACTAGCAAATCTAATCATCCAGCTCAGAGGAGAGTTACACAACTGAAAACCTCCTGAGATTTCAGTTGAATAGCAGATCTTGCTTAATACCCCCATGTTCACTTGCTTCAGATTTGCAGCTCCTTTGGCGTTACAGCTGTGCTGTGCTTTTACATATAAACCAGATTAAATAGCAAAAGGAATGCTGAACGGAAGAGCTGTGTTATTTCCACCTTGCAGGACTGACTGAAATGAGCCTGGCAGTATTAAATACGAGATAAAACTCCCACAGGGAGCATTAGTCCGAGTAATTCATATAAACACTTAAAGAAGTCAGTCTTGATCGAGCTTCCTAGTCAAATCAGGTGGGTAATGGTATGCAACCAGCAGAGCCCCTTTCCCTGGGAAAGCACTGCTGACAGAAACTGAACGGTCATGTATCCTCACTGGGAAGCGTCAGGACGAGTATTGGGTAACAACAGATAGCCCACAGTTTGGGTAACTCTTTCACACAAGGAATTGCAAGTGTCTTTTCTGAGGACCTGCCTAGTGCTGTGAAACGTTCTTCGTCTGCGCCCTTGATGTGGGCCACCTGGAGAGGAAAATCTCATCAACGTCTAGGAATGCAGCCAGGTTTATGATCGCTTTCTTTTGCAGTTGACTTTTAAGGGAGATCAACTTATCAGGAGGAGGTCTGAAGGAAAGGTGAGTTACAGGTATGTGCATTTCATATGTGTTGATAAAGGCATAGATGAAGTTGTTTGCTTTCCCTCCGGTCTGCACTGTCTGGTTTTCAGGAGCTCAAACCATCCTTCCTGTCATCTTTTTGCCTCCACCCACGTGCACAGCGTGGGGCCTGATTCTGACCTCAGCCACGGGTGCGGGGCAGTGTGAATGAACAGCACCAGCAGTCACAGGCAGGGGGTCCCCTGCTGTGATGCTGAACTCTTCTCTCTGTAAGCTGAAATAATGCCCCGTGCTGGGGCACCCACCTGCACAACAACTTTCATAGGTGACTTCCACGGGGTGCTTCTTCCCTCGGCTTGCATTGAGCCCTGCCTGCCTGGCTTGGCAGACGGCTCCCGTGTCGCAGCAGGCTTTGCCGGCTCTGGAAGCAGCCCTAGCATCAGCCGCTGCGGGGATGCTAATAGAGCTGTAGCTGAAACAAAGCACATCGCTCAGAGCCTTAGAGCTGGGTAGCCAAGTTTCTGCAGCACTTCCAGATGTGAAGCGGGGGAGTTGGTTTTAGCCTATTTTTCAGATTTTTAAAATTCTTTCTGATTTTTTTTTTTTTTTTTAAAGCACCATGCAAGCACACTGCGAACAATTTGTACTGCTCACTCAGGTTTAGCTGCATGTTCCCAGTGGCAGTTGGTTAGTGTTTTTTCTAGCTGAGACTCTCTGACCGAAGCCCCATCTGTGTGCTGGGGCAGATCGGCAGCAGAGATCTCTTCCACTGAAATCCAAGCAAAAACTGTCACATGCCCAGTCTGTCCCATGTGTGACTCCTGCCCCCCATCCTGACAGGCTGCTCCTTGGACTGAGGAGGGGCAATGCCTACACTCACTCAACCAGGAGACAAAATTCCTCTTAACTTTGGACTGAATGAGGACTGTGTGGTTTTGGCCAACCAGTTTGGCGAGGAGCGCTCCAAGGAGGTGTTATTGCTGAGTAACTTCCCGTCTGCGTGGGCACTCAGCAGAAGGGGTAGAGGCTGCTGGAGAGCCTTGCTAGGTTATTTATTTCTCCAGGGAAGCAGGAGCTTGGACCTAAGCCTCGATCCCCCTGTCAGCATGGTGCACTGGTGCTTCAGCTTCTCCCTAACGTGCATTTCTTCCCCAATTTTGCCTTGCCTGTAGTTTCAAGCAACCTCCTTAACAAACCCTGCAGCATCTTCTGGGGAATTAAACACGATTGTGAGGGGTCATTAAGTTGTGAGAGGAGCTAAAGAAACCTTCAGTGCAGCCTGTCAATGCTTCTTTTCAGGTGATAAGAAATGAGAGTGATGATGCCCTGGTTGCTGCTGCTCCTTCTCCTGGTCAGCTGCGGCTCACCTGCACCCAGGTTTTCGGTGTGTATCTTTCACCTAGTGCCCGTACAACCTCTCAGCTGTTTATCATTCCCAGTCAGGTAGAGATAGGCGCTCCCCCACAAGAGGGATGGAGACCTGCAAAAGCTGAGCAACAAGGCACCTGCCAGCAGCTAAAGGAAGGTCACTCTTGTTGTCCTGATAATACAGGGGTTTTCATAGCATTAGGGGCTGTGCAGCTCTCTGGGTGGCTGGACAGGCATTGCCAAGAGTTAAAAACAACAACAACAACAAAAGCCCTTTAAAAAAAAAAGCCAGTGAAGAAATACTCCGTTCCCTCACAGAAAGCTGCCTTCACTTACTCATTGCAATTTAATAAGCAAGAAGGGGAAGAGGAGGTAGGCATCGTCTGAGGCAATCTATACTCTTCTGATGAGCAAATTTCTCTTGGGCTATCCCAACGAGGTACAGAGCTTGGCAAGGAGAGTTTGGCAAGCTTGGGGCTGTCTGCAGCAGGTCCCTGTGTGCCTCCAGCCTGGAAATTCTCCTCTGTGGAGGAAAAACAACAGGCCTAGGAGAAGGAAGAGGCAGCTGGGAGGCCACATTTGAGCACTTGAGTCTGCTGTCATGGGCAACTGCTTGTTCTGCTTATGCCTAGAACTGGTCCTGACCTGGTATCACTCCAGCCGGCTTGCTCAGAATGAAAATAGCCAACGGTTCTCATTGCACAGGTTTGCCTGGTTGTTTTGGAAGAGATTTGGCTCTGTTTTGTTTTTAATGGACTAACACCAGTCACAGACTAGATGGTTGCTGAAAATGTTTGCCCCAGACAGTGTGGGTCAGATTCACCTCTGAAGTTGTACCACTGTAGGCTCACTGCTTTCAGCCAAATATCAGCTCTCTTATCCTCCAGTTTTACAAGATGTTTCTGGAACCTTACTGATTTGGCCTGAATGCAGTGCAAGAGCAGAGTTTTCCCCCTCTTGTTACCCTGAGCACTTTCATAGTCTGCAAACACTCCCTTTGAGTTCGTTAAATGCGAGTAGAGAAGAATTATGTTTGTCCAAAGTAATTTTATGCATATCTGATCATGTTCTGGGGTGCTCTGAGCAGTGGCAAGGTCATTGTAGAAAACCCTTTTCCACGGGGTTCAACTCAACAGCCCACGCTGTGCAAGATTTGTGTGTCTTAGAAAGAGACCACCGTTGAATCGTCTTGATTCACAGAGGCAGCGTGACATGTTAGGGTCAAGAGGAGACAGATACTCCTTCTCTGCCTCTTTGTTCTTACCACTGACTGACGCGTCGTTTTTTTGTTTTATTTTCTCCATAGGAAAAAGATATCTGCCTCCTAGACAACAATAAATTAAGACAAAGGTTAAATCATCTTCAAGACTTGCTTTACTTGTATGAACTGCAACTGAAGGACATCCTGGAGAACACTTACCACAGAACAAAAAGTGGGCTGTTCTCAGGCAACAGGAGCGTGCAGCATGAGATGCTTTTACCCACAACCAGTGGAAATTTGATAGTCTATGACCAAGGTACATTTTGCAGTAGTGTGTGTGGAAATTTCAGCTTGCCACAATGTTTGTGTCTCCCTGCAGTGTCCCATGTGTCATATCTTATTTCTGTTAAAAGTTTTAGAGTTTTTAAAGTTGACTGTGTTTTAAAACGCAGTCATATACATGGAAAGGAGCAGGGCAGACTGGTGGCCCTGGTACCAGCAGACATCCCCTGGGGCCAGAGTCAGCTGGCCCAGCTTTAGGCAGCTACTGCCTAGGTACAAGGCAGACACCTGCAGCTGGGCTTCTCACCTGGGACTCCGGTGCAGAGAGGAACAGGCACCTCTCAGATGTTTTTACATCAGACCTGCTTTAGACATCAGCTTTAGGAAGAGATGGGTCTTGATCTTGAAGATCCTGTTTCCCCTGAGTGACTTACGGGGGCCCAGAGTGCCTGGCTCAACTGCAGGCACTGAAACCTGTTTGGAGGAACCCAGCCTCCCTGTTCCTCGGCTCCCTCATCACTTCTGCGGCGCAGTAGCAGGTGTGCATACTCTGTTCCTTGGTGTCGCTTTGAGAACGTGGTCATAGCTGGAATTGTGGCCTGTGGCCAAGATATTATCCTTCAGGGGCATTACACTGAAAGTGTGAAGCACTGATGTCCTGAAAGGCTCTATCCTGGTACAGCCTTGGTAGAGCTGGTCACAGGAGCTTAGCCTCTTATTTTATAAATTTTGGGCCCCGGTCCAATCTGTAGTACAGCTGAGGTTACCTTCCACGTGGACATTAGCTTCCCTGCAAATGATCTTGCTGACAGAGCCAGTCCCGGTCCTGTGTCGCTCCCATGCTATAGCCCAGGCTGAGCTGCAGCCATCCCACATCTCACCAAAGATTTGGGAACGACTCCCTCAGAGGGCATAGCTGTAAAGGCTCTCAAGCCTTGCGGCCCTTTGTCAGGCCCAGCAGTTTGCAAACCAGCATGGCCGCTACCTTACTGAACCACTTGCTTTGGCTTTGCAGGGCTTGCAGAGCCATACGCAGGCTGGCCAAGTGTCCTGGTCCCATACAGCCTCTCAGCAATGCCTTCTCTTGAGTGCACACACCCCTTTGCTTCCCCCCTGCCCCATTTAACAAACCGATACCGGTCTGCCTAGATTGCTCCGCGGTGTATAATCGGAAGAAGACCAAAAATGGCTACTACCGGATCAGGCCCAGAGCAGACCGAGAGCCGTTCCTGGCATATTGTGACATGTCTGATGGCGGGGGGTGGACTGTCATTCAGCGGCGGAGTAATGGCAAGGAGAATTTCAACAGGTGGGTGCGTCCTGGTTGCATCAACAGGACCTGCAGTCAGGCCTCCAGCTCCCGCCCTGTCCTGCTGCCTGGCAAAGCCCTACATTTGAGAAGTGGGGAATGCAAGACTTCAGTGATGATAACACTTTGCATTAGGACAATCTGACCTGGTGGTATCTATTGGTAACAGGAGGCCATTTTCAAAATGGACCTATAACACCTTTTCCACAGATTCTCTGCATTTGAGTAAGCGTGTACATGTCTGCATATTTTTTTTATCATTATTGGAGACTGTCAAAAGCTCCAAATTGGCAGGTGTATCTGCTGCTAGTGCATAGAGTGAGACCTGTTGAACATATTATCTGGTCTCATATCAGGAATTGTGTTCAGCATGGTGTAACATTTATTTCCTTATTCAGATCATTCAAAAAGATGCCAAACCACTGGTCCAGATTGTCCTTTCTCTATGCAAAACCCCAGAGGGGTGGCTTTCACCTGGAAATCTCCAGGAGGAGAGATGCTCTGGTAGCACAGTAAAGCAGAAACATCCCCAGGCAGATTAATTCAGTATCACAGCACACGCAATTTCAGGGCATGTCTAGTGCCTCTCGCAGTGAGTGCAGTCCATTGCAAAGCTACCTCAACTCCCTTTAAGCTGGCTTGCCCAGAGAGTGGTAGTTACCTAGCTGTGGTAGTTCAGCTCTCAGCACAGGTGAATGAAAAACATCCTGAAGAGGAGCATTGAACTGGTATATAGGTCAGGCAGAATTAATAGCCCTAATAACAACATAAGGGAGGGAATAGACACGGGGTTAGTAAAACTGAAAATGATGATACACAGGAAGTATGTGTGAATCTCAAAGATAATACATAAATAACAGAGGAGATTTTAAGAGAATGAAATTATAGGAAGAAAGTAACAGCAGAAGATTTCTCTTAAAAAGATGAAGCCAGAGAATGCTGATGAAAAGTAAGTATATATCTTTGAAGGACAAGTTGCTACATCCAAACAATGATTCTGCAAATAAGCAGAGGCGAGAGTGGTCAACGAATCAAAAATAGATTTAAATGAAACGGAAGCACAAAGCAAACCCAAATGTTTTCCTTTTAACTTCATCTGGAAGCTTTCGTTTGCTAGTCAGTTTCTGATTCTTCACCATAGCAGATCATACATCCAAGATTGCAGTGTATTTCAGACTGCAATATTTATTTCCAGCCAGGAGTGCATTTGAATTGCGACTTGCTGAAGAACAATATCAGATGCTTTGCTGAAGACCAATATGACAGCTGCTGCTTTCCCTTTCCATCTGACAACCTCATTCTGCGAGCACTGCATCTGGCAGTTTGAAGGTTTGATCCCAGCATATGTGTGTGCACAGGTTTAGCAGGAGAAGTAAGCTGTGAGTTGTATTTACTTCTAAGGCAGAGTGACAAATCTCAGCTCAGCTTGCGATGAATCAGATACTTTTAGAAAACAGTGTCTAGAGATACAGATGACGTTTTATTTGTTACCATAGCCAAGTGTCACAAACTGTCTAATTCCCTCACACGCTGACGTTGATATTTGTATCTCGCTGCAGGAAATGGGATGATTACAAACTGGGATTTGGGAAATTCCAGGGCAAGAATGATGAATACTGGCTGGGCAACGACCACATCTATGACCTGCTCGCTAGAGGTGCAAGTATTTTCCCTCCACAGATTTCTTTCTAATTTGGAAGAGATAGTTCATCTAACATGAGGCCACTTTGTGTTTAGGAGAGAGCTCATTAAAGATTGACCTGATGGACTGGCATGGGGAAAGACGTTACGCAATCTATGAAAATTTCCAGCTTGCAAATGAGCAGGTAAGAAACGGAGAGAGTGGTGATTTGCTTGTTTTGTCCATGAGGGTGAGGCATCTGTGTATGCATCAGACTTCAGTATTAGGGTTGTAACTGCAGCTCTGTAAAACTTTGCTGTGCTGGTTCCCTGGAGTTTCTGATTTGGCTGACTGACAAAGAGCCCTGGAAGCAGCAACATAAGCCTGGGGCTTCTTCCTCACAACTGCTGATTGCCCAAGCCACCGGGTGATGGATTGGATGGGGCTTTGAGCAACCTGGTCTAGTGGAAGCTGTCCCTGCCATGGCTGGGAGGTTAGAACTAGATGATCTTTAAGGTCCCTTCCAACCCAAACCATCCTATGGTTCTACGATCACGCATGCATGCTCTCTTGCTAACTCTGCTGCTGCACGGAGGGCAGCTCTTGGCCGCAGGGCACAGGGATTCCCACATGCATTTGCCTCCGGCCTCATGGTTAGTTTTCTGTGAGGGAGGAGATAAGAGTTTGAACCTCTGTAAGGAAACTGAACCCTGTTCTCCTGCTTCCTAGGAGAGTGTTTCAGGATGTCACATAAAAGGCAATCACCAGAACAAACCCTCTCTACTTTGTTTTAAAAGAAAACAGTGAACTCTAATCAAAGTTTTGAAAAAGCAGTTTTGAGTTCCTATCTTGAAGAGAGGTACCTGCAGCACTACATTTAGTGCTACCGACACAGAAAGCCCAAAGGCAGACACATCCCTCTATTTTCATGTTTGCTTTCTAGCTTTAGACAGCATCCTACTCAATGTAGGTGCTGTTCTTTGCAGGCTTGCCTTTCTGAACACGACACATTAAGTAGCCTGAATACCAAAGGACATGAGTTCCATTGCATGGACCATTGCAGTTCCATCACTGCTCCAGAAATACATGCATTATGTTCAGTTTGCAATTAGAGTTTTCTTATTAAAAGTTTGAATAACTTAGTTTTAATGCCTTACTGCTATTTTTCATAAACAAAAGTGGAACATGACAGGAAAAAGCCCACATCAAAAAAGTAATCATCCATCCCATATCAAATGTCTCTTAGATCTGCTAGCTGTGCACAACGGAACTGTTCTTTTAAGTATTCCTACCAGAACTGGACCATTTATCTAGAAAGCAGATGGCTTCTAGTTCTTGGAGAAGCGAAATTCCTAAGGAGTTACTCTAGCTGAACAACTGATAGGTTTATGAAGGCAACTACTTGGCACAGTTTTCTGCCAGGTTGTTCTTGATGAGCTAGGAAGAACCTTCCAGCTTGTTGTACAGTGTATCAAATGGTTACTGAAAGACAATAAAGCCTGAAGCCCTTTGTAGCACCAGCAGTAATTAGCAATCCCTTCTGGGAGTTTAAATCCCATTGATCTACACTAGGATCATTAAAGCACAGGGCCAAAAGTCACCCTTGACTTCAACAGTCATGTCTTTGACAGAGGATACAATGGCCAGAGCAAATTTGATCTCAAAAATGGGAGGAAGTGCAGAGAGTGCTGATATCAAAGACATGTTTCACATATTCTTGCAGGACAATTACAGGTTGTGGTTTGGCACCTATTCTGGTAACGCTGGCGACGCTCTGTCTGGTGGGAGCAATTTTGAAGTTCAGTGGTCAGCCTCTCACAGAGGGATGCAGTTCACCACATCTGACAAGGATCACGATCGATTCCTGGCAGGCAACTGTGCATCAGAGAACGAGGGTGGATGGTGGTTTAACAGGTATGGAAAACAGTTGATTCCTCTCGGATGCATAGGGCGTGGGAGGCTGTACAGCCAGGAGGACTTGCCTGCCTTACAGCAGCTGGAGGTTGCTGTGTGCGCCTGCCACCTCGCACAGCCAAATCTAAGATGTTCACACCTACAGATCCTCAAAGGAAAGCAATCTGCTTCTTTCATTATGAAGCAAAGCAGGTAAGTTGCATTCATTTTAAGAAACTGGACCACAGGTAAGTTGCATTCACCTCAAGAAAACGTGTCAGAATAGATGGGGGGGAAGGACTTGGAAGGAAAAGAGCCCAAGTAAAATTTCTTAAAGTGCTTTGGGTTATATCCCAGGAAAGAAAACAATTGTAGCCACTGCAAGGTGAAGTGTGTACAAAGGACACTTCCCTATTGTAGAGCACATCTAGGGAGTGAGCTACCCCTTAACAGAACTGATGGTGTGTTTGCTAGTTGGGCATACCCCACACATCAACAGGTAGGGGCTCGGGTTCACCAGCCCGGGGGCATGGACACACTGCTCTCAGTTTTTCTTTGCTTCAGTGCAGGATGAGCCTCTTCTTTGACCAGGCCCTTATCACGTACAAACTGAAATCAGTGGAGCCACACAAATGTACATCAGTGGTGGGATTTACCTTGACTGAAAGACGTGTGCATTTTCAGGTGTCAACACATAGCTGCCTTCACTTGAGCTAGAACCTACCAAATGGCACTACACCCCTCTGTTTAGGCAACTGAATCGCATCCCTAGTTAATATGCTGGAAGGAGTCAACAGGTTGAATTATCTGACCAGCGTGTCTACTTTAGGATGACCCACATACTTCTCTGGGTTCCACTAAATGCATTAACCAGATCTCCACAGGCTATTGTAGGACTTCAGATAACCAGATCAGTGCAGACAGATATATCTGGGTGTCTGAATCCATTGACGAATCCCGCCCTGGTATTTCTAAATGTATGTTGTGTGAAAATCGTACTTCACTGTAATGATGCAATATCTTCCCACGCTAAATCTCATCTCCTTCTTCCCCCTCTCCTACATTGTTACAAGGTGCCATGCCGTAAACCTCAATGGACGATACTACAGAACAGGAAGGTACAAGGGATCCCATGACAATGGCATAGTTTGGTCTACGTGGCATGGGATGTGGTACTCACTAAAATACTCAGCCATGAAAATCAGGGCTCCATTCTTCGTTGACAGTGAAAGTGGAGATGGTGAGAACAGTCAGGGCAGCTGAAACCTGCTGCTTTGGAACGAGAAAAAAAAGTACAGGCTGAAAAGAATCTTGCAAGTTAATAGCCAGCCCTCTACTGCTGCCGATTGCCAAACCTGTTCTGTGATAACTGGAGTGGCACCTGTTTCTTCTAGCTGAAGCTAATGTTGCGAATTGCTTGAGCACAGCCAGCAAACAATGTAATGGAAAACATATGGATCTCAGTCATGGAATAACGATGGTTTTCTTCTTCAGCATTTTCATGACTTCATTGGAGAGTGGTCATGAAAAGCTCTGGACCTTGAATGATCAAGCATGTTCTTTAACTGTGTGTACTCTTCAACGGCTAAATCTTTCTCATCTTGATTTTACCTGTCAGCGCTTCAGTTACAAGGACGTAAGAACAGGAACAACAAGGTGATGGGGAATTGGAGTTCATCTGGTGTGCCTTTGTTAGTGCTTTGTTCTGGATCAGGAGGATGTTTCTCAGCAACTCTCCCTACGGTCCCCAATCACCCTACTTCAGTTGCAGAACACTCCTGGCGTCTGTGAAACCAAACCAGTGGATGGACGTGCTTCAACTGCTAACATGCGTTCAAATTAAGGCTACTTCAGAGTAAACCGCCACAACACGGACAGTGTGGACACTGGATTTCATTGCCAACAGCCTCCTGCTGCAGATCCACATCTATAGCACACCACAACACATTAATGCAAAGACAATGCTGCTGGCCAGACTTAAGCCCCAGATTAAAATTAGGCAGGTTTTACTAAATTGAAGATGAGCACAGGTTATTCTTGGGAGCTCATAAAATGTAGTCATGATCCATTTGTACATTCTTGTGTAATTCACCAGATGACTTTGAGTTAGTGAAGGGGAATCAGAAAGTGCAAAGTGAACCATAAGGCATGCTTCTTTCATTGTCTCGTCGGAGTGAAAAAAAAGAGCAACACAAATGACAGAAAGAAATGGAATACTGAAAATTTATTTTCCACAAGCTGTTAATGACGACAGTTAAAAATGAACAGCAATATCAGCTTGATGCAAATCACTTAACTACCATGTTGTAGAATGAGCCTATTTTTTTCTGAATTACGATCATTTTCATAGTTCTTTTACATTTGATTGCTTTTAGATCCATAGATATTGTAATTTGTATTGTATATCCATAAAGAGTGAAATAAAACTATCTGAGTAGGACTTAACACTTTGTGTCTCTTTTTCAACCCTAGGAACTTGAACAGAAACTTGGCTTAAAATCTTGAGAAAGCTCATAGTATGAGAAATGCATTTTTTTTGGTGTTGGCTCTCGTGCTTTTGCACTTGCTGTCCTGGGTAGTTGAGTGGGTCTGCAAGGTAAATTTAATTTCCATGGCTCAAGCTGTCCTGGAGACAATGCAGAGACATGTGAAAATTCAGTGTAAAACTTGCTTTGGTCCCTCTGCTTTGTCAAGAGGTAAACCCCATTCTCACTTCTTCCTAGACATCCCAGTGACTGCAAACGTGAACACTGGCGCACAGTGGGCCAGCACTCCAGGGAGCCGTGCTCCTAAAGCCTGTGCCCTGGCAAGACTGCACCGCTGCACTCTTCCCAAGCCTTGGCACGTACCCACGTGGAATGAAACTTGCACCTACATCTCTGAAATGAGTTTGCCCTTGTGAAGAAAGGGCTGTGAAGAGCCAGCACTTATAACTTCATTTCTGATCACTACTTCTGTATTTTACTATGGTAAAATCCTAGTGCAAGGTTGTATCTACATGTTGGGAATACAAGGAATCATTACACACACGTTATAACCCTGTGGCCACTGATGCCATGCTGAGGGCAGCAAGGACAATTTTTGTCTAGGCAGAAGACACAAAGAAATGTGAGCGAAATAAATTAATGCCTTCTGGCAGGTGATGCTCAATCCCACTCTTCAGTAGAGGGCTCGGGAAGCAAGGTAAAGATTACATGCTCAACTCTGCATGCTGGAAATCAACTACAGCCCCAAACGGACAGCATTAGTGGTTTGACAGTTCATTGAGCAGCCGATAACTCATCTGATAATGGAATATCAAGCCGGAGATAAAGTCAACAGGGCTTAGTCAGACAACTGCTACCCAGTCCGGTTGCCCAGTGAGTGAGCAGATGGTGATGCAAAGCCCAGAGTATAAAGCCTGTGTCAATATGGAAAGGCAGGCATTATAGTTGGCCTGCCTTCAGCCAGCATCAATGTTAATGACATTTTTTCTTTCTCTCAGAGAGAAAATGGGACCAAGATCTGACAAGGTTGGAGACAAGAGGTCTGCCTTGCTGTCTGAGATATAAGATGCACCCAAGTCCATCTAATGCATTACAGTAGCTGTTCTAAATGCAGCGCGCCATTGAGACAAGGTTGCAGGAAGCAGCGTTTGGCTTAGAGCAAGGCTCCCCCTCCTCTGCCCTCCTGCAATGCAGCGAACCCCCTCGGGGCTGCAGGAGTCCAGGGCTTTGCGCAGGACCCTGCAACTCCCACGGCAAACCCCAGGAAGTGTTTCAGAACGCTCTTTATCTTAATAGGGTAAAATGCCACTAGCAGAGTATTTGTTTGATCTGAGGGCTACCGCCAAGCTCAAATAATTCTCACTGAAGGTTAGGGAAATGCTTGCTGAATGCTGCTGTGCTGCACATTTGATCTCCCATTTCTCCAGGGTCTCCCATGCCGAGAGAGGCTCACCAAAGCTGTAAATAGCTATTGTAGCACTGTAGCTCTAACGCTGACAGATCACTGCTTCAGGGCACAGCGCTCCACGCAGCAGAATTTACCCTAGCTCAGGGGCGGTAAGTAACCTGAGCAGCAATTGCTTCAGAAGTCTGATTTCCAGCTCATTTAAGTCAATTTAGAGACTTGTTACATTTGATTAGCCTTGGATCGGTCCTCAAGTGTGAACATGTTCTCAAATGCTTTAAACAGCATTTCAAGCTGACAGCTTACGGGAACGCATAGCTCATACGAATGCTGCGCTGGGCCGAAGGGCTGAACATCGACAACGCCAACAACAGCGTCCTGGCGCAGCTCCTGGGAAAGAAGCAGTTCACATCACCCTGCGAGACGGATCTGGCGCTCCAGCAGCAGCTGCAAAACGTTACCCATCAAAAAGGCCGTTCCAACGGCAGGGTTTGACTCCGGCGGCCAAATGCTGAGTGTTTTGCTCCTCCTAGGCTGTCACAGCAAGCCCTCCTGCTGTGTGCTTGTCAAGTTACCTGCGCACGCTTTGGACACTTCAGTGGGGTGCCACCAGTAGCTGGCTAACACACAGCAACACTGCTCTCCCTTTAAAATTGCCATTGGTTTGGAGAAAAAAAGAAAAGTGTGGGACTGGGAAATCTATCTTTCCACTCAGACAGTTTTGAGAAAGATAGCAGCCTACTGCCAGAGAACTGAGCAGATGCTAATTTTTCCTTCACACCCACGAGGCAGGTTAAAGGGCATGTAGGGTTGGGCTCCTTATGGGAGAGCTGTTTTGCCTGAACCTACCTTCTCTCACTCCATCCTTCATGGGCAGCATCTCCTCTTTTCTCGTTGTTGCCCAATAGCTTTCCCCTGGTCTTTGCAAACTCCCTGAAGAGACGGTTATCCTGACAAATGCCAAGCAAAGTCTCTGAGTCATTCTCGCTGGCCCGAGCTCCATCTCTGTTGTTAACTGGGGTTTCAACCCAGCTCTGAATACTTGCAGCAGTGCCTAATTGGCAATTTGTGATCTCTGGTTTTAAAGCATGACAAAAAAACCCAACATAATTTTTGTACTTCACTGTAAGATTCTCCAGGAATCACCAGATGTTGTCAAGCCATTTTATTTTTTCTTTTTGTTCGCAAAACTAGTGTTCATCACAGAAGTTTGTTGCTTGCTGTGTTTGTTCATAATTTATTTTGAACTTGCTGTAGTATTATTATTGTCAATTTATTTACATTTAAAAAAAGTTTAATAAAGGCAAAGATGATTATGGAAAGGACGGGTGATTCAACAGTTCTCTCACTGCCTTTTACAAGTGCTTAAATGCTGCACTAACGTTTCTATGAGGACTAAAATTTGATCATCCATTTTCTTTGCCCTTCTGTAGCAAGCCCTTTTCTACTCATTTCCTGCAAATACTTGTACATTACCATTTTCTTGGTATAAATATTGGCAGAAAGAAAACATCAAAGTCGTGAATGATGAAAAATGCCCCCTCAATTTTAAATTCACTCCAAGTATTCAGCATCAATTGTTGCACTTCATGCAACCAGCTAAAAGAAACACCATCATATGACTTATTTGAGCAACAACAAATCAACACAGTTCAATAATGACTACCAGAAAAACGATGAACACCACTCACAACTCGAGGTTCATGTTTTCTAAATGGGAAATGATTCACTGATTAGGATAGATGGTTAAGGATATTGGAAAACGGATGCTTTAGGACAGCATAATCTGTACACGGTCCACAGGGTGAGAAAAGCTATTATCAGTGGCATTCATCATATACAATGCACGAAATGTCACTGCTTTATGCAATAAAATCTATTGGCTGTTCCTGCGTCATGTCTTCACTAACACGTACTTTCCCAGGGTATTTTTGGTGTACTGTGCACACATACATACAAAAAATAAAGATATGGAAGCACTTTCCAGTAATTAGAAAGGAATGTGTTCCCACAAGCCAGACATGGGGCATTATTCCCTCCTGCTCTGTGCGGAGGTAACGCATTTCCCGCTGTTTCTCCCACCAGAAGCCAACAGATCCTCCTGCAGATCCTCTCCCGCATGCGCCCCTCCCGCAGGGCTGCAATGAGTCACTCAGATCACCAGCTTCTCAACGCTTAAAGTACTCGTTTCATCCTCTTCATTTGAGCCAAAATACCCAGGGAGGTCGATCATCTGCTGCTCTGCCTCCGTTAAGCCAAAAGTAGTATTATCATAAAAGGCAAACTCAGGGTCCAAGGGGAAGCTCTGGCACTTGTCCCTTCGGTACTGGGCAGGGCTTACACTTAGGCCTCTCTGAGAACTGTCTTTGCAA